CCTAGACCCTTCATCAGATGAAGGGTCGAGGCCCGAAACGTCAGCCTTTCAGCTCCTATGATGCTGCTTGGCCTGCTGTGTTCATCCAGCACTGCACATTGTTGTCTCAGATTCTCCAGCATCTGCAGTTCCTGCTATCTCTGGTTACCATTCGAAACTGTTTTTGACCAAGAATCACTAAGCAAATGTTACAGCATCCACGAAATAAAAATATACATTTCCCATTAGCAAACAACTTTTACAAGTAGACAAGTACATATAAATCCTCTGAATTACAAACTTTCTTTCAATTTAGCTGCACTAATTGTTGCACATACTCAAGTCACCAGAAAAAGGGAACAAGTTTTTAAATACAGATGGTTTCAAAACTACAAAACCAGACATAGCAGTTTAACAGCCCTGAATCAAAACTTGTATCAAGAACATAAAAAGGTAACGTAAACTCATGTCAGCTGCTCTTGTAGCACCATGTACAACAACAGAGGATTTTGAAGAATGAGTTATCAGTTAGCGAATACAAAATGCAGGAATTATATATCATATTTAATTCATGTTCAATATAAACTGTGTCTGTTTTGGTAAATTTTTACTGTAATGAGCAGCAGCACAAAAATAAACTATTAACTCACCCACAATGAATTAGTCTCCATGAAGAGACACAAGAGCACTCAAGGTGTCAATGTTGAGTTTATCCAAAGAAAGAGATGACCACACAGGTTAGAACAGCATGCACCTATACGGCACTATTTATCATAGGGATATGTCAACATCACAGATGACTTATGTCCACAACTTTTCCAGCTAGTGACAGATCAGGTCTTGGGTCAGGTATGGCATGGTTACGTGTATACAAAGCCCTTAACGCCATCTAGAAAATTAACCAAACTGCAATCTGAGTAGTAGTAAGTAATAATCACTCAAATGTCTTGTAAATAGAAGGTGGGCTGAACAATCCCAAAAATCAACTGAATCAATCACGCAGCCTACACAAATCTTTTAAGACAGTTAACAAATTCCATTGCTGTTCAGCCAGACTGATTTAAAACTGACATTTAGAACACATTTGAATTTTAGTAGTGCTCAAAAAGATTATTTTCTGATGAGAAACACTTCAAAGTCATGTCCAGGTTACAAAGGGGAATATTTAAAACATTCATTAGTCCAACACCTACGACAAAATGAGAGACTTATACTTTTTTTTTAAACTGCCTGATCTGACAACAGTTTTAGACAGAGATTAAATCTAGTTTTTTTTTTAAAGAAAAGGTCATAACTATGTAATTTATATCGTATCATTCAAAATTCGCATTCACTGTGCAACACCATCTAAATAAGAAAAAGCAACAAAACTTCCTGGTTTTCTGGAATAAGCAAAGCTTTTGGACAACAGCCATCATGTTAGAAATGATGTAGCAAGTTTCGCTCAAAATATAAATCCATTTCGATGAAGCCAATGTCCACAAAAAACTACCCTCATTATAGCCAAATAAGGCAGTAAAAACAGAAAACAGCATCTATACTGCAAGCAAACAGGGCCTAAAGCCAATCACAACTATATACAAAGGTCAAGAATAAGGGGATGTGTTATTTAAATACTAGTTATGTTTAAAGAACTTACATTTCTACAGCACCGCTCAGTTCCTTATGAAGTTTCAAAGTACTTTACAGCCAATGAATTACTTCTGTAAAGTATTGTGTTTGTTTTGTAAATCTAACATTTATATTATGCACAATATGGCTACATAAATAGTACTGTGATGTATGATCAATTAATCTGTTTCCATAGTTTTCACAGAATTTGATAGAAGTAACACAGCCAAGAGAAGTTCTTCCAGCATTTCTTCCAAAAGTGACATGAAATACTTTCTAACTGACAACCTAGGCTGGTCAGGCCTTTGCCTAATGATTCATTCTTGCATTACAACCATGAATGGCTACAATTCAAGAAGTGCATCATTAGCTGTAATATACTTTGAGAGATCCAGTGAAAGGTAGATATAAAAATATATATTTTCATTAAAATTGAAGATTCACTGCTGTTTCAGAACTTGAACACACAGTACAATGATATTTCAGTCCAATACGAAGCTACTTTTTGTCAAGTGTGTTGTATTTGGAGTACAACTAAACTAACGCTAATGTACAATTTCATACTTTTCACACGAAAAAGAATGTTCAATAAGGACATCAGGAATGTAATCTTATATTAGTTTCTAAGTAGAATAGTTTTAGAATTTGACTAGTTATCTTCAGCCAGATACAATGATTCCTCTCAGTATTTCATTACTTCCTGCTGCTTAGATGCAATAAAAGGTGTGTGTATGCATTTATGCAATATATACTATTCATATAATTTATTTCACAGATTAGACTTTGAACTAGTGGCATTTAGATTTTGGTCTGAAAGTATGAGGAGATTTAATTATTAACTTTATTTCTGGAGCCAATTTTTAAACCAGTATAAAAGAGGGAGTCTCTGGGGTGACAATGGGGATTTGTTTACATGAAGAATTTAATGAGTGGACAGAGTAAGCATTATTTTGCTGTCTGTTAAGAAGGATCAATAATTTTGTTTGGCTTGGGGAAAAAAAAATGTTGCTTGGAAAGCTTTTGTTGGGGAGTTCAAATAAGTCCTGGTTGAAGTTAGACGAATGAAATAGTTTCTCCAAGACAGAAGAATAGAGTTCAGAAAAGTTAGGAAATAGGTTACCTAAGATTTTAATTTGAAAGTTCGAGACTAGAATTGTTTGGTTAGAACCCTGAAGGAGTCATTCCAAGTTGACAGAGTCTAAGCTCAGTTGTATGACTAATCAAAGAAGAGGCTACCAACTCTCAAGATTCGGAATTGAAAGAAACAGTCAAGTTAAATCTAAAGATGTAATAGAGAAGTGAACTTTCTTTGGTGCTTGAGTACCATAAAGTGATGGAGTTGAGAAGAATGTGATTGTCTTTTAGTGTCCATTCCAAATTTTTCTGAAACTGTCTTGTGCGTAAATAGCTTCATTTATGCTGTTTTATCTGCTTTCTCTTTCCATAATTAGCTTCTGTTTCATTGCCAAAGCCAAATCTGCTGCAATGTCTTGTGTTTGAGGGAAAAACCAGCTCATTAAATAATCAAAAAGCCAAATTTCAGGCTGGGACCTGACTTGTCCAGTATCAGCTGGGATTATAAAATTCAAGCCACACACAGTTAGGTTATGGGAAATCTCTGCATTATACCGAAAACAACAAATTTATCTGGACAGTGAAACATCCAGGTAATTAGTAAATCCTGAATGGCTGTCAATTTAATTAGGATACACAGTTAGCTTTTGCCTTTAACTATATCTTCGAAGAATATTCTATGTTTACCCAAGTTGGTTTTATGTCAATCAAGTCAGTTTTCATCTTTGGCTGTCCTAGAAAATCTGCATACTTAGAATTTTGCCCACCACCAGGGAAGCTAATTCAACTGTGAAATGGCTTCACAGGTAACTGAATAAGAAATCAAGTTTCCATTTTAACTTCGATGTAAAGGGAATAAGGGTAGCATCATTCTTATGTTATCTATCAAAACAGCAGCAACGCGTATGATTTAGTCTTATTGCTGTTACACACATTGTTTAAAACCAACTAGTGGATTTAGAGACCATTTGACAGACTGTACACTAAGTTCGCTTTTCTACAAGAGGTGAATTACAAGACAGCATGTGATATATTCCAGTCATGAATGGAAGATAGATGTACAATGCCATAGCAGTCATGTCGTGTGACTCGAATGAGAGGCTTGGGCAAATTAACCTGAAAATATGAGTTCTAATCTCACTGTGGCAGTCCAAAAATTCGAATTTTTACTCAGGTATATTCAATTTTTGCAACAATTTGTAGCTTTTCAAGAAGGTCCATCATCCCGTCTTTCAGGGTAACCAGTTTTGGCAATAAGTGCCGTCCTTGACAGCAACATCGACATCTGAAGTAGAAATATAAGGAAGACTTCCACGCCTTACCTTTGTTGTCCTAAGATAAAAGACAAGAAAGTTGCACATCCCATCATTGAAGATCTATTACCGGACTGGTCAATGACACTGAACCAGAGAAAATGTATAACGCAATAATTCTGATGATGGGACGGCTACTTCTTCTGAAGTTCTCTGCCCAAAGGCAAGTCTGACCCAAAGTAGCATGACATTGTTTACTGGCAAGGCACGAATGCAGGTCCTGAATCCAACCCAGCTGGAACAGGGATCAATGTGGTCCAAACCTGTCATCTAGCTACTGGGCCTCCAAAGAGTCCAGGTTGCTGTTACAACACACGTGGTAGCTTGGAGTTACACATAGTAATAGTAGAGGCTCCAATTCTATTTTCCATCACACTGTTGTCCAGACATACCTCTCACTCTTTCCAACTGCCATGGGCTTGTGTTGGCAAGATTTACAAATTGATCCTCAACCTGCTTAGCCATGCTGTGAATACGCTTTCCTTGCTCATCAAAAACCAAAGGCAGGGATGCTCCCACAGTGCCACAAAACCTTGTACAGTTGACTACCAATTCATAAAAGATCACAATGTTTTTTAAGGTGACTTGTATAAATAAAACAACAAAGAGTAAACTTAAATATGTTGCGCAACATCAAATTCTCATTGCATACTACTTTTGCCAGTATTTCTGATATTGCAGCAGAATGAAGCACACTTCAATATAATTGAAGAAACTCAGATGTGATAAAATAATCTAAAATAATTTTTACAAACAAGGATCCATTTACCTGACTAATCTCATGGTGAGATATCTGAAGAGACTGTTGCATGGGCTCCAATTGTGTTTGGCTGGCCTCCATACGTTCTTGCAGTTCTGTTGTCTCCTGGTGAAGTCGTTTCAGCTCCTCCTTTGCTTTGATAAGCTCCTCCTCACAAGATAATATATGGGTTTCCTGAGCTGAAATTTCAGTCTTTAGTGATGAGATCTGGAACCAGAGCAAATAATGTGAATATACATAGATATAAACATGTTTGCTTTCTTTTGTTTTTTTTTAAATGAACACTGTGTTACGCTGACAGTCTCAATTTCTCTGTTCTCCTCATTCACTCTTAAGCTGTCTCGCTATTCTATTCTCCATAGGTACAAACATGGCACTGTAATAGCATGCAGACCAACCTTTAACTTGCAATGACTGAATGCCAGCTCTCCAGGACAGGCACAGCAGCAAGGAAAGGTAGGTTCTTTACTAGTTACCAGCCAGAATGCTGGTGAAAGCCCGACTTCTGCTTAAATAGAATAAACCTGCAAAAATTCAAGTCTCTGGAAGATTCAACTTAGCAAGGTTGCAAGAAAATATTACTGCTGTGGGCCTTGCCACCAGAAGTTGGTTTGGGATTCTCAGGAGACTGAGGGGAAACAACTTTCAACATGTGGCTCAGCAAAATGGGCAGAAGCACTCATGTTGGAGGCTGGGAGAACTGTAGGCTTGTTCCTGTAAATAATGTCACATAATAAAAAATGGGATTATTGGCTATTTAAACAACAATGTAACATAAGAACCAGAAACAGGAGTTGGCCATCTGGTCCTTCGTGCCCGCTCTGCCATTCATTAAGATCATGGCTAATCTTTTCGTGGCCTCAGCTCCACTTACCTACCCTCTCACCATAACCCTTAATTTTTGAACAGTAAAGAAATTACCTTAGCTTTAAAAACATTCAGTGAGGAAGCCTCAACTATTTCACTGGGCAGGAAATTCCACAGATTCACAACCCTTTGGGTGAAGAAGTTCCTCCTCAATTCAGTCCTAATTCGCTCCCCCTAATTTTGAGGCTAATAAGGGATATCTTTACACTAGTTTCATGTATGAGTTGGCTACTAAGAAGTGTTTAGATGATGTTGATGTTAGTTTGTTTATTACAGTAAAAGTTTGAAATCTTGTTTCTATATTCCTGTGATTTTAGATTTAAATTCATACAACCATAGGAATAGGAGTCAGCCTTTCAACTTCTTGAGCCATTTCCACCAATCAGATGATTTATCTGCACTGTAATTTTTCTTACCCACTCAATACCCTTACCCAACAAAATCCTATCGTGCTCAGATTTGAAATTTTCGATTGATCTAACTTCAACTGTATTTTTGGAAGAACAGTAAGTTTACATAGAAGTTGTCTTGATTTGCATTGCTATTGCAAAGAGTAAAAAGCCTTTATTCCAGTCAGCAATTCCTTGGAACAATGTGTAGCATTGAAATTCAAGCTGCACTGCCAGGAACTAACTTTTGAAATGTCAAGTGTCTTTTGCACTTGCTTAGTAATAAGAAAATAATTGTGACATTTAAATGGGATATGGCTTTAAGTCATGGAACCTTAATTGAATGAATCTATCAAGTACATCAGTCCATTAACCAATCATCCGTGCCATTATATTCATAAACAACCAGGACTTACCAACTGTGCCTCTTCGGTGCACTTCTGTCGCATGTCATTAAGCTCCTCCTCCAATTGGTTTTTTTGTTGATCCAAGCCATTGAGCACTTCTTGCACTTGTTGCCTCTGCTCTTGTAACTTTTGGAGGTTTGTACTTTCTTTATCAACTTCATCTTGGAGGTCCTGGAGACAAAATATTTATTGTTATGAAAACACATTGTATTACTAAAAAACATGTGTTTGATGTAAATTATTATTGCAATCTTCACAACAGAAGTTTAATTTCACTACCGAGAACATTTTGATGAAAGCCTAAAGTATGGTACAACTTTGGGCTGGGTGTCCTCCTCTTTTGATGTATGATCCTACAATACTTCCTCAGATACTGAAGCAGACCATGTTCAAATACAACAAAATCTGGACAATATCCAGGCTTGGACTGACAATTAGAAGTAATGTTCATATCATACAAATGCCAGGCTGTGACCATCACCACGAAGAGACAATGTAACCATCGCCCCTTGAGTTTCTGACCAGTGGAGAATTCAGTCATGGTAATGCCATTGAATGTCAAGTGAACTTGCCACACAAACACAGTAGTTACAAGAGCAGGTCCAAGGCTGGGAATACTCTGGCCAGTAACTCACTTCCTGACTCCCTAGAGCCTGTCTATCATCGATAAGGCACAAATCAGGAGTGTAATGGAATACTCCCCATTTGCCCGGATGGGCGCAGTTCCAACAACTCTTAAGAAGCTTCATACTATCCAGGGCAAAGAAGCTCATTTGACTGGCACTGCAACCACTCATTCTCTCCATCACCGATGGTCAGTAGCAGCAGTGTGTACTATCTACAAGATGCACTGATGAAATTCACCAAAGCTCCTCAGACAGCACCTTCCAAACCCATGATCACTTCCATCTAGAAGGACAAGGGCGGCAGATACATGGGAACACCATTACATTCAAGTTCCCCTCCAAGCCACTCAGCATCCTGACTTGGAAATATCTCATTGTTCCTTCATTGTCACTGGTTCAAAATCCTGGAATTCCCTCCCGAATGGCACTGAGAGTCAACCTAAAGCAGGTGGACTGCAGCGGTTCAAGAAGGCAGCTCACTGCGACCTTCTCAAGGGTAACTAGGGATGGGCAAGAAATGCTGGCCAACCAGCAATGCCCACGTCTCACAAATAAATAAAATAAGAACAATGCAACAAAATGTCCCAGGGTACTTCACAGGAGCACAGCAAATTACGCATGAGATGGAGCGTTTGTCTTTTTACTTGCTGCTTCAAGATGATTATTTCCTCGTGCTTCTTTCAGTTTACTTTGTTGCACTGACTGCAGTAATCTCTCTATTAACAAGATCAAAGGGTGATCAATTTAGTGAATGATTGTGCTCAGTCTGCAAGAGTGACTCCAACTTGTAGCTGCTTGCAATTTTTATTATTTATCATTTTAATTGTTGTTATTTATCCCAGCTTCACTCTACCCTCAGCCTCCAACATCATTCCAATGCAAGTCAGTGGAAGCTTTTTTAGGCACTTTACAGACTTTCATAGAAACACAGAAGATAAGATTAGGAGGCAGCCATTCGGTCCTTCAAGCCTGCTCCGCCATTCTTCAGGATCATGGCTGATCATCCAACTCGATAGCCTAATCCTGTTTTCTCCCCATGACCTTTGATCCTATTCTCCCCAAATGCTATATCTTGTTGCCTCTTGAATATATTCAATGTTTTGGCATCACCTACTTCCTGTGGTAATGAATTCCACGGGCTTACCACTCTTTGGGTGAAGAAATGTCTCATCTCCATCCTAAATCGTCTACCTGGAATCCTCATACTGTGACCCCTGGTTCTGGACACACCCACCATCATCCTCCCTGCATCTACCCTGTCTAGTCCTGTTAGAATTTTATTAGTCTCCGAGATCCCTCCTCATTCGTCTGAACTCCAGCACAAACAATCCCAACCTCGTCAATCTCTCCTCATACGTCAGACCCACCATCTTGGAAGAGCCTGGTAAACCTTCGCTGCACTCCCTCGAGAGCAGGAGCACTTTTCCTCAGAAAAGGAGACTAAAACTGCATGCAATATTCCAGGTGTAGTCTCTCCAAGGCCCTGTAAGTTCAACAATTTTGGGATGTTGCAAACATTTAGTTCATAGAACATGCGCTTTTGAATGTAGCTTTTGCTTTTGGGAAATTAAAGCCTTAACCTTAGAAAATGGGATAAGTGCAACTAAATCAAACTTAGAGCTTATTATTCTTAAAAGGTTTGGGCCACGTTGACTTTAAGAGGCTAACAGGTCAAAAGCCAAGATCATAAAATAGCAAATGGGCTTATAGAACTGAAGAGCTGGGGACATGTTTGCAATGAAGGGCAGTGTACACACAATGTTTTTGGAGTTAGAACTAAGTTAGTCTAAAAGCATTCAGTAAACAAAAATATTGCAAAAACTTCATCAAATCAAAAGAAATTTAAAATAAAGGATAATTTAAAGTCAGATTTCAGGATAGCACAGAGCAACTATGATTGTGGAGATGGGTAGAGCGTATGAAGGTTTTCTGGTTTCAATTAATCATGGTGTTTTTTGAGATCATTAGTTGCAGTTTGAATATGGTTTGCAGCTCAGTGAAAGAAGATAGCCCATGTAAAAGACAGTTAAAAAGACTGACATTATAAGCAGAGCAAAATACTTGCATTAACTGTATGGAATCCAGATAAAACTTAATCTCAATCGGCAGTTTGAAAACAAAGAGAAGCTGGAAAATCTTTTAAGTCTGAAGCCACTGGGAAAATGTACTGTAATCCTCCACAGAGTCTTGTGTCAAAAGAAGGCAACAAACAGATTAGCTTGAAAGTATTGAGAAAGTGCCCAAGTCAAGAGACTCAGACATCAATAGTCAAGCAATGGCAAGTGAAAACCGAAAGAAATCGCAAATGCTGTAAATCAGGAACAAAAACGGAAGTTGCTGGAAAAGCTCAGCAGGTCTGACAGCATCTGTGAACAAAAAAATCAGAGTTAATGTTCCGGGTCTGGTGAAGAAGGGTCACCGTACCCAAAACATTAACTCTGATTTTTTTTCTTCACAATGGCAAGTGAAAGTTGTCTAACCAGAGCAGGGAAGAATTATCTGGAGGACTGTGCCATACTCATGGGGTTCCTACAGAAGTAAACAACTTTAAAATTGATGCATCTTTTATGAAAATTTTTGGGGAACTAAAATGTAAACCTGAGCACACAACATGCACAGTTGTAAAACAAACAATTAATTCAATAGAGATAACAAGGTGTAGAGCTGGATGAACGCAGCAGGCCAAGCAACATCAGAGGAGCAGGAAAGCGGACATTTCAGGTCTGGACCCTTCTTCAGAAATGGGGGAGGGGAAGGGGATTCTGAAATAAATAGGGAGAGAGGGGGAGGCGGATGGAAGACGGATAGAAGGAGCAGATAGGTGGAGAGGAGACGGACAGGTCAAGGAGGCGGGGATGAGGCTGGTAGGTAGGAGGAGCATTTAGGTGGGAGAAAGGACGGACAGGTCAGGGAGGCAGGGACGAGCTGGGCTGGTTTTGGGATGTGGTCGGGGGTGGGGAGATTTTGAAGCTTGTGAAGTCCACATTGATACCATTGGGCTGCAGGGTTCCCAAGCGAAATATGAGGTGCTGTTCCTGCAACCTTCGGGTGGCATCGCTGTGGCACTGGAAGAGGCCCAGGGTGGACATGTCGTCCAAAGAGTGGGAGGGGGAGTTGAAGTGGTTCGCGACTGGGAGGTGCAGTCATTTGTCACAAACTGAGCATAGGTGTTCCACAAAGCGGTCTCCAAGCCTTTGCACAATTTTCTTTAGATCAATGGGTTTTGGCATTGATTCTGTTGTTATCATGCATATCTCCACTAATCCCATCTATTGTTTGTTTACTCACTGCATTTCTATTCTCCTGTGCCTTGTACGGTGCCTTTTTTTTGTCATTCAGCCAGACCCACAGTTTACCTGTTCCAGTACAAGTAAAATACTTGATAGGCTATCTGGTAATATGCAAAATTGCCCAGCTATGTCCTGATCACAAAACGTAGGACAAATGTAATTCAACCAATTATGCCCATCAACTTTCAATCATTAAAAAGTGATGCTGACAGCAATGCTCAAAATATGCAGAGCAGACAAGCAAACGTGCCTCTGAATTCAGAGTGTGGAGCTGGAGCAACACAGAGGTCAGGCAGCATCAGAGGAGTAGGAAGGTTGAGGTTTCAGGTTAGGATCCTTTTTCTGAATATAATATCTGAATGAATAAGAAATGGCATCAATTCAGAGCAGGGAATAACGAAATTTTGAGAAGAGATCAAAGCTACAACTGAAGACATGGGACCTTGGGGCACTTTTAAAGGTGATAAGAGCAAACTAAAGTGGTTGCTGCCTGACATGTTGTATTCTTCAAGCCACACAGTGTTGTCTCTGACTCCAGCATCTGCTGTTCTTGCTATCTCCGAATGCCTCTGAATGTTCCAGGTCATCCACGAAAATTCACTCATGGAGACAAGAGAAAAGCCATGAGAGAATGGAAGCAAACGGTGAGAAGTTCCACCTCCAATGACAGGCTGGTTCACTCCCATGTTTGCTGCAACATGTGACAGGAACAATCTGTGACTTAAGAACATCAAGCAGCTAGGTACATAGGTGCTAACAGTAGGAGCGATGCAGGGAGAGTAGAACCGTGGGTGAGAGTTCTGGCATCTGGTGGAGATGAAGTTTGGAGTGTTATGAGCGAGACCATGGGCAGCGATCCTAGAGCCAAGACCAGCTGACATTTTGTCAATTTTCGCTTAATTCTTAAATTGAGATTGAAATTTAAGATGCAGTAAAAAATGTTACTAACTGCTTGGTTAGAATTTCCAGCACTGTGAAGTGTGTTTAGGATGAAGACTTTTTGTATCTTGGTGTCAGTTAATTTCAAAAAAACCTTTGTTGCCAACTTACTCTCTTGTCTTGTACCGTAAGACAGAGGAGCAGCATTAGGCCATTCGGCCCAGTGAGTCTGCTCTGCCATTCCATCATGGCTGATATGTTTCTCAACCCCATTCTCCTGCCATTTCCCTGTAACCCTTCATTCCCTTCCTGATCAGGAACGTATCTATCTTGGTCTTAAACACACTCAATGACTTGGCCTCCACAGCCTTCCATG